GGCTTCTATTTTTCACCCCCAGTTCAACAGAAAATAGCAAGTGTTGGTGAAGATGAAAAGAAATTGGAACTCTTCACACTATTGACGGAAATGTAAAATTCTGCAGCAGTCTGAGAGTTCCTCAATATTAAAAATAGAATTAGCACATGATCCAGCTCTTGCACGTCTACACATGCACCCAGAGGGTCCTGTAGAGATATCTGTACACCATGCCTATAGCAGCGTTCTTCACAATACAAAGAGGTGGGAGCAACCCAAGTCTACATTTATGAATAAGTGGCTAAATAAAATACATTGTATACATACAAGTAAATACTATTCAGCTATAAAAAAGAATGAAATTCTGCCCTAACCGGTTTGGGTCAGTGGATAGAGCTTCAGCCTGCGGACTCAAGGGTCCCAGGTTCGATTCTGGTCAAGGGCATGTACCTTGGTTGCGGGCACATCCCCAGTAGGGGATGCGCAGGAGGCAGCTGATCGATGTTTCTCTCTCATCGATGTTTCTAACTCTCTATCCTTCTCCCTTCCTCTCTGTAAAAAATCAATGAAATATATATTTTTTTAAAAAGAATGAAATTCTAACACATGAATAAACTTTGAGGATGTTATGGTAAGTCAAAGAAGCCACTCACAAAATGACAAATACTGTATGATGTCACTTATAGAGGGTATCTAAAGTAGTCAAGTTCATAGAGACAGAAAGTCAAATGGTGGTTGCCAAGGACTGGGGGAAGGAGGCAATGGGTAGTTGCTTAGTGGGAATAGAGCTCTAGTGTTACAAGATGAAAAAGTCCCAGGATTGGTTGCACAACAATATGAATGTACTTAACGATACTGAACTGTACACTTAAAAATAGTTAGGATGGTACATTTTACATAATGTGTATTTTACCACAATTTTTAAAGGTTATCAAAAATTGCTTAATTATGGCCCTAGCCAGTGTGGCTTAGTTGGTTGAGCATCATCCCATGCCCCAAAAGGTCAGGGGCTCCTGCAGGAGGCATCTGATCAATGTTTCTCTTTCACATCGATGTTTCTCTCTCTCTCTCTCTCTCTCTCCCTCTCTCTTCCCCTCTCTCTCCCTCTCCCTCCCTCTCTCAAAATTCAATAAAAACATATTTTTAAAAAATTGCTTAATTCTTTTTAAAGTAATGTTATATGGTGAAATATTATATTTAATCAGATCCGAGACAATTTTTTCTGTGACCCTTGACTTCTGTACCCCACCTTCTACTTATGTCCACCTCGAGGCTCACAAATTAACATGATAGTTGGCATTTAAGCCTACTTCGTACGCGTCCGGCTTTTCCAGATATATTCTCAACCATTTTCTGGTTAGCCAACAAGAGCTCGGCAAGGTTTAGTGACATTTCCAAGGTTGTGAGAGGGCTGGAGCTGTTACTGGATCCCATGGCCTGACCCTAAAGCCTGGGTTCTGACTCACCTTGCCTCATGCCCCTCAAGTTAGCTTTATCCTAAAACCACTTGTGGAACCTCAAAAATCAGATTCCCCAAGGAGGTGAGTGTTTCTCTAAATTTTCATGAATGTTGAATGTGTGGCTCCTGGAATGAGCAAATTAACAAATAAAGACATGAAATCAGCCCTGGCCTGTTTGGCTCAGTGGATAGAGCATCGGCCTGCAGACTGAAGGGTCCCAGATTCTATTCCCATCAAGGACACATGCACGGGTTGTGGGCTCAATACCCAGGAGGAGATGTGCAGGAGGCAGTCAATCAATGATTCTCTCTCATCATTGATGTTTCTATCTCTCTCTCCCTCTCCCTTCCTCAGAAGTCAATAAAATAATATTTTTTAAAAAAGTCTTTATTTAAAAAAGAAAAGGGAGATGAAATCAAACAAGATTGGCTAACTTGTCAGACTAAAGGAGCCTTGAAGACAGTGGGATCTGGAAAGGAAGGAGGTGGAAGGAGACATTAATAACCGCAGGGTAGGTTCTGCGTGAGCACGTACAGAGATCTACAGACAGCCTGCCCTGAGGACAGAGACCACTGGGGAGTCCAGGCACCTGGAGCTGTCGCAGCCAGGAGAGAGGCCGGTCCAGACACAGCTGTGTG